AGAATGAGGGGCTTTCTCTTCTGTCTACCTGATAGCCGCCGATTTCCCTCCCGAGATTTAAAGTTTGCCATCTGAAAAGTGAGGATGAACCACAGCGTCTGTCTGATGGCCCAGAGGGGCTCAGAGGCTGGGCTGGCACTCCCTCCGGGACTTAGGGTCGGAAACCATTCCTGGTTGTCACCAGCCTTAAAAAGGGAGCCTATGCTTTTTTAGATTCCACAGATCAGGGAGATCATATAGCATTTGTCATCTCACTTAGCATAATGGTCTCCGTGTCCATCTATGTTGTTGCAAATACCAGGATTTCTTTCTTTCTCATAACTGAACAGTGTTTCATTGTATGTATATGTACCTCATCTTTATCCATTCATCCATGCATGGACCCTTGGGTTGTTTGCACATCCTAGCTCTTGTGAATAATGCTGCAATGAACATGGGGGTGTGGGCATCTTTTTGAGATCCTGTTTCCATTTTCCTTTAGGTAAACACCCATAGGGGGAATTGCTGGGTCATATGGTAGATCTGTTTTGTGAGTAGAATGGTGGTTACTAGGGCCTGAGGGCTGGGGGCAAGAGGAAGGTGTTGTGTAAGGGTACACACTTGAAACTAGTAGATACCCAAGTCCTGGAGACCTAGCCCACAGCACAGTGAATACAGTGACTATGACACACCACTCTTGCACGTGAGGGAAGGGACAAGAAGTTCTGCGTTTGGAGGGTCAAGCCCAACGTCTGGCATTTATGAATGTCGTAGGCAGGAAACTAGGAATAAGCACAGAACACCAGCAGGGCGGGGGACAGGCCTGAGATGGTGAGGGTGGGGGCCCGGCGGGAGGCAGGCTGGCCTCCTTTGCTGGAGAAGAGCCGACTCGAGGAAGCCTCCCTCCTAGTCCTGGGAGGCACGGCCTTGTGACCACACAGACACTGTCATCTCGGCCGCCACATTGCGGAGATGAGTGACAAGCAGAATATTTGGGGAGGGGGCAGGGAACGACCCAGGAAGGTACAGACACAGTTCTGGGATGCTGGGGAGGTTCCCCGTACCTCCTAGAGTCTCTCTGCCGAACTTCGTTGCTGGGGCTGCCAAGCTGGGAGCTGGAGGGTTTTTATCTCCAGGTGTGCTGGGAGAGCCAGGTGGTACTGGACGGACAGACGGAGACAGACTGGGTGACAACTGTGTGCCTGGCTTATCTGGCGGGGGCGCCTCCTCCCCGCAGCTGTACTCAGCCTGGAACTCCTGGGGGCTGAGTTTGGTCCAAGCCGCGTGGCTCCCGGGGCTTGGTGACGTCACCCCTCGGTGTGGTTTTGCATCTGGGGGACTCCCAAGAGGCGAGCCAGGTAAAGAAAAGGCTCTCTGTGGCTCGGTCATGGCCTCTGTAGGGAGCTGGAAACAAGCAAGGAGAAAGGCCCACCACAGCCACTGGGACAGGGGAGGCCCGGTCTCCCCAAAGCAGACTTCATGGCGTCATGGGAACCGCACAGCCTTCCTCCCCGGATCGTTACCACGTACCCGGGATCCTGTCAGCCCAATCCTTTCCCACTTTCTGCGGTCACCCCTGGGGCCAGGGCAGCGTGGATCACACGGGGATTCCTCAGTAGTGGGGTCAACGAGACCCCTGGGGTCCAGGGCCCAGAGAGAAGCCCCATGAGCTGCGCTTCCCAGGGTCGGCTCCTCCTCACTCAGCCCACGGGGCAGGCCCCAGAAAGGGAGACAGTGGGTGGGGGGGGGCTGGGGAGCCACTGATGCCTCAAATTCAGACATTTCCTACGAGGGGTTGGCGGGGGGATCTTCCCTCTGCACGGATTCTGACTTCACCCCCACAGGACCTGGAAGTTTCGCACCTAGAACTTTCTTCCAGTTCCAAGTACTGAGAATCTATTGGGAACACACCTTTTCGGGAGAAACTAACTCAGGTTGTTGAGGAAAATTCCACCTCCCATCTCTCTTTCCTCAAGAGTGATGGGCTAGATTTTCCCAGGGCACTGGGGGGTGGGAGGGGGTAGGGCAGGGTTCCAGACACAGAGTAGATGATCCCAGTCACTGCCCATGTCTCCTGCCTTTGCGGAGCTCCCAGGCTCCCGGGCCACCCACTGCAGAAGCAGGGGCGTCCACCCAGCCCGCAGGGGCCTGGAGACAGTGATGCTGATGAGAGGAGCCCCACGGCCTGCACGGATGGACGGGGCGCTTCCAGGGGCCGGGCTGCACATGACACATGACGGGGAAGCCAGGACTCGTGGCCACGGCGGAGGGCTGCGTGGGGTTTCACACACCCGGCACGCGTCTCTGTGCTTGGCCTGCAGCGGCGTTACATAAACATCAAGGGACGTGCCGCCTGCACTGCTTTGAAGTTCACATGTTGGCAGCATGGAAATGAAGGTTCTGGTCAGGGAGTGACACAGACACCCAGGGCAGGGCACCCGCCCCTTAAGGGTACGTGGCAGGCCAGGCTGGGGGGCAGACCTGGAGCAGGACCCATGCAGGGCTGACCAAGTGCTGGGGGTGTAGGTGCCCAGATGGAAGGCTACCCTTCCCTTCTTACCTCCTCCCTCGCTGGTGGGAGCCAAGCGCCCCCTCTACTGCCCGCCTCTGTCCCCGTGATACGTCGCTTGGCTGTTTCCTGATGGAACGTGAAGTCCTCGAGGGTAGAACGTCTGCCCATTTTTGCCCCCTTCCCACGACCAGACACGGATGTCCAGTGAAGGGTTTCTGAAAACAGTCCCGAAGGATTGTTGGAAATCTGTTAGGAGGACGGAGGTTTGGGAGGGGCCCCCTTGCCTTGGTGGGTCCACAAGACCCTCATGTGTTGGAACGAGCTGCCCAAGTCCTGCCGAGTCCCGGCTCAGTCTGCTCTGGCTGTGACACTAGCAAGCACTGCGTCCATTTCCACTCTCACCTCCCAGCCTGTGAGTCGGGGTTAGGATTCTGTCTCCCGCTGGTGGGGACATGTGTTAGCGGAGGCGCGGTAGGTTTGCTGAGCCACATCAGCAGCCGGGGGCGTCTGAAGGCCCGGCAGGTCTGGAGGGTGAGTGGGATGTTCCATGGTGCCCCATGCGGGCTGTTTTAATCCAGGCCAAGGGGAGTGGTGTGATGGATGATGCCACCCAGTGACATGCTCAGCTACGGTTCCCACCTGCTTGGCCAAACACTAGACTCGATGTTGCTATGAAGATGTATTTTATATGTGATTGACATTTACTGGTTAAATTAGTAGACTTTGAATAAAGCTGATGATCCGCCATAATGTGGGTGGGCCTCACCCAATCAGTTGAAGGCCTTAAGAGCAAAGACTGGGGTGTTCCTGAGAAGAAGGCTTTTGGCCTCAAGGCTGCAATGCAGAAACCCTGCCCACTTGCCTGCTTTCTGCCCTGCAGAATTTGGATTAGCCAGCCCCCATAATCATGTGAGCCAGATCTCTAAAATAAAGCTCCCTTCTGTCTCCATAGGACACCTGTTCTTTCTGTTTCTGTAGAGAACCCTGTCTCATAAAGCAGGAATCACAGGGTCAGGGGTGGCCCTTGAGTTAGTTGTGGCACTGCCCAGGGAAGCTGTCCCTGCTCAGGTTCCAATGGAAGCTGCAAAAACCTCGGTCCCCAGGCTGCGTGGCCAGAGAGTCCTGCCCACCCCAACACTGGCCACCTCCATCCCGGTCAACTGCTGTCTTCCCTGTAGCCTCCTCCTGTAGGGGCACTTCATCCTCTGACCTGTTCCAGCCCCAACTCTGTCCCTGGACCAGTTCCCCGCCTCCATGCCAGCCCCCGGATCTCAGGCGCAAAACTCGTGAGGAATCAGAGCAGGTCAGAAGCAAGTGGTACAATATAAAATTTATTATAAAACTTCAGCAAATATAAATATCCAGGTGCCCATTCGGAATGGAGCCACATGGTAGGAAGGACAATGCAGAGCAGTACCAACACTGCGCGGGGTGTCAGGGGCCTGTGTGCAGCTTCATGCGGAAATGCTGGCCTTCTTTCTGAATGGGTCTTGCAAAACAACCAAAATTCATGGAAAAAAAGTTCAAAAACAGCACAACACACACAAAGGAAGCATGGGGTTCTGAGGGTCCCCACGTCCGCGGACATCCGCCCACGCAGGACAGCCAGCGACTCATCAGGACAGCAGGGGCACAGCGTAGCTGGTCGCTCTCTGATTCTGCTATAACCTGTGATTCTGTCATTTCAGAGAGAAGCATTAAGGAACAGGTTGGAGGAGAAACGCTCGTTTGTCCGTAACAGAGAAGGATAACACGTAGGCTATAAAAGTTCTCTCCCCCTGCACGTGAGTCTGAAAGGGACCGAAGCACCATAGCAGGACTTTGTGTTTCCCGTTTCCAGAGGCAAAGTCTCCAATCGGGACACAGAGTCCGGAGTCCAGTGTCCCCCCCATCGCGCAGGGCAGGCGTCCCTTCAAGGGGCCCCCCGGCTCTTGTCCCAGCAGAGAGAAACGGGGCTCCTGGGGTGGGAAGAGGGGGCCGTGGAGAAACCTGCAGGAGCTGTCCCACCCAGCTCCTTCTCCAGAGGGAGGCTGGTTAGTCCAGACCTGCGGCAGGGCCTCGAGGTGGGAGGGAGGCCGGCGTACGTAGCCGGAGATCTTTTGTACATGTTCCTAATGTCATGGCCTTTCCTTCTTCTCCAAAGCACCACATATTTAGCGTTTAGCAAGTTCGGCTCCTTCTGTCTTTTGACTTGATTCAGCTGAAGTACAAGTGATGAGCATGACTCGGGGTCTGCAGAGTGGGCCCTCCCGCCTGCCTCCATGCTTCACCTGAACATGTGTGCACATGCGTGCCCAGGCATGCCTTCAGACCCACGACTTGCACACACTCACACACACAGACACGCGCACACACTCACACACTCCCATCAGAGAGCCAGACACAGCTCTGCTTCTCCCAGCCTGCATCCTCCTGCATCTTCCTGGCCCCGTTCCGATGTACACTGCACAGCTGATTTGGGCTTAAGGCACAGCACCCCTACTCTCACCCGGGGCAGGGCCACCCGGCCTCACAGGTTGGAGGTGGAGCACGTCTGGCAGCAGCGATCCCCATAGAACTGGTGACTGCACATCCCGTGCTGGGGCACCAGAGAGCACCAGGGGAAGTGGTCTCTGCAGACGCCATCTGAAAAGCACAGACGCCGTGTTAGCTGGGGTCCCGGGCGGCGGGGCGTATGGCTCCAAGGCTGCGGAGGGCAGCCCTTCAGGGAAGATGCAGCCTTGTGCGAGGGGCTGTTTCCACAAGACCCTCCTTGGAACGTCCCTTAGGACGTTCTGTCCTGCCTTCTGTGCAGCACCTGCCCACTTAGTGACGCCGGGAACGACGGTCCAACCTCCTGGCACCGAACTTCAGTTGCACGTTCTCTGAAAGAGACAGAGACTCCAACGCCAGGGCTCCCTAACCGCGGGCACCCCACTTCCTCGGGCCCACTAAGGTATTGCTCCAGACATGTGACAGCCCCACCCTGGGATGCCAAGGCCAAGCTGAGGGGCTCCAGACACTCACCTTTCTTCTCTGCGATGGGGCAGAAGTGGGTGTTGCAGGCCAGGGAGGCGGTGGGTTTCTGGTGCACGAAGCAGCCCAAGGCCGGCCGGCCCCCCGCCAGGCACTGCACAGCCCTGGTCTGCACGCCGCCCCCACAGCTGGCCGTGCACTGGGAAAAACACATGCACAGTGGTCATCCGGGGCCCCCGGGGCCCGGGGCACCCTCTCCTCCCCTCCACCCAGACTCCTCAGTGATTGTGGGGAAGCGGACCAGAATCAGGATTAATCCCAGGTGTGGACAGAGGGGGCAAGTACTGGAGGTCTAACATGCTTTTGAGTGGTCCATGTCTGCTGAACACAGGGAAACGAGCATATCTGGGGGTACCAGGATCGTTCCCCGGGTCTACCCGGGCTCTGGGGCTGGCACCGGAAACAATGCCCTTCATGGAAGGCCATCACCCAGGCACCTTTTCCGGGACTCTTGCCGGGGAAAATCTTGACAAACCAACTCCCACAGAGGCACGATGAAACGAAGTCCCTTCTAGATCCCAAGTTCCCAGACTCTGGATGCCTGCCTGGAGGTGGCAACACCAGCAGCCTGGGTTCGCTGGCATCCTCCCATGGGCATGGCTCTGAAACACATAGGCCCTGGCACTCTAAGGCAATCTAGCACACTGGAGCCAGGGCACGAAGGGGCTGCACGGCTAGGTCATCCTCCCCCAGCTGCCAGGCTCACAGCCTACAGACTATGTGCACGGGTCCATCCGAGCAAGACATCGGGGGACGGGTGACCAGAGAGACGGAGGAACCCAAACCAGCGAGCAGTGAATCTGTCCGGAGAGCTACTTGAAGTCTTCACTGATTTATGTAAATTGTGCTCCAAAAAGGCTCCTCCTTCAAAAATGTCGAGAATGTAGGCAATTAAGGAGCACCTGCAGGAAGAGGGGGTCAGATAACATTGCAGAAGTCTGGTGCATGCTGGGGACGCTAAATCCTGTAAAATGCAAGGATAGATCTGTGCGGAACCGGCACATCCACGGCACAGGCTGGCTGCCAAAATGTACAAGACAGCACGCCAGACCCCCATTCGAGCAAGTGCAGTTAGCCCACCCCGGGGCTGGCTTTGCACAGCTGAGGTCAGCCTGCAAGGGAGAAGCCCGCTGCCCTCCTGCTTCTTTCCCAGGACCTGCTTTGAGCAGGGCCCCCGGACGTGAAGACGCAGGGCTCCCGCTGATATGCACGTGGGTCTGGAGCGTTTCCGTGAGGCCCACCCCTTTCTCTTCAAGACCAACTTCAGCGAAAGTCGTCAATAACTCAGGTTCAATATATGACTGTAGCAATCAGAAAAAAATAGAACGGTGCGGGCAGATCCGCGTCTGGCGTCGGAATCAGCAGCCTCATCCACGATGGAGCCCCATGTTGCCCACTACCCACTGCCTCTCTCTGAGCGGGCCACTGCAGCACGTTCGGGCTTTGCACTTGGCCCTCTGAGCCCCTCCCAGCCGTGGCCCCGCCAAGAGCTTGAGGAACACCGTCTGCACTGGCCTGGGGCTCACGGCTTCGCCGCGTCACATCTGCATCTGTATGCGTCCACGACCTCTCTGCCATCGGTGGAGCTTCTGGCATTGGCCGCAGCCGGGGCCGAAGTCCAGTCTTGCTAAGGACGTGTCTCAATTGAACACAAGAGATCTAGCCATCATTTTGCACCACTTAAAATCGTGAGGAAGTGATTTGATTCTTTTTGTCACAGACTCATTTATTCACAACCAGAATCACTCCCTCCCATGCACCAGGCACCAATCTAGGCACTGGATGCCGAGTCCTGGACGTAAGGGAGTCGCCCGTCTCCGGGATTTCCTGTCCCTACTCAAACCGCTATCCTTCACGCTTTGTGAAGAGAGACTCCAGGATTGGATCTGGAAGTCAAAGCTGAGGCGTCTTCTTCAACTTGATGGGGTTTAACGTGAGCATGTTAGGTAATTCTTCCTGCGCATGGCAGGACGCAGGGGGGCAGTGTGCTGCAGAGATGGGGACCTGCCCTTGTGCCTCGACCTACATGCGGGGATGAGTGCCAGGGCCATCCGTCCAGGCCCCGAGGCTGCTAGCTCCAGCCCAGGTCAGCGGCCCTCGAAGCCGATGTGCAGGCCAGCCACCCGCCGGACCCACCCCAAACCTGGAGCTTCGGCAGCCCGGGTGGAACCTGAGATCCTGCATTTCTACGCACAGCACTTGAGCTGGAAGCCGGGCCATGCTTGCAGAACCACTCTAGCTGACCAGAAATGCGTCGGGAAATACCTTTTCCTCTCGTCTTTTAGTTTTCAGAGCCAAGTCCGGATACATCTAAGTCTGACTAGAGTGTGCACAGAGCCAGTGTGCAATCAGGTGAGCCGGCCATCTCATAAAGGGGCCAAGACTTCCCCTGTGCGGCCTGGCTGGTCACTGTCACCTGGCAGCCTCGTGGACTGCCACCTGCTTACTTCTGCCTGGGGTCCCTGCGGCAGACAAGAGAGGACCGGGTTTACTCCTCCTCTAGGGGGGCCACTTCTCGCCTTCAGCCCTGGTAGGGCCACCGCTGGAGCTCGGCAACATTTGCAAACGTGTTCTTCACTGTCTGTGTCTCCTGCTGAGGCCCACACTCGCCAGGGGCAAAGGACAGCCTGCCGGTGGGCAATTCTGGGTCTTTCTGCTGAGGGGGCAGTGAGGCAGTTCCAGCCCCCCGTGCAGGGGTGCAGAAGGTGAAGCAGGAACATCACCCTCTGAAGAGCATCCAAGGGCTGCTCCCTCCACGAACACCAGCCTCTTCCAGGTCCTTGGGCCCCTCCTTTGCCGCTCTCCTTCAACTCCACAAGCCTGCCCCCCTCATCCAAGGCCTGAGGCCATGCACAGCTGAGGCAGGGCCCTTTCCAAGACTACCCAACTAGGGGGATCAGCTGTGGTCCAGGGGGAGGGTCCCCCCACGCCGAGGTCAGCAAATTGGGTCTTCTCGCCATCCCAGGATTCAACAACCTTGTCGAATGTGACGGCACCTCCTGGGAGCCCTCCATGCTGACACCCTCGGAGTCGACCCCTGTGGGTGTCAGTCTCAGACTCCCCAGGGGCCTGAGCAGTGATCTACCAAGCGCACATTTTCCAGAACACTGAAATCCTGAAAACCCTCTCCCTTTTGGATTTCTTCTGTTTCAGGAATGATTCCTGTGTTTTGTTGGACATCCTGCACCAGAGGCGCTAAATTTGCTCTGAATAGATAACTGGGGAAAACTGATCATCACTCTTAGTCATTATCAGAAATCCAAAGAGTTACATTTTTTAAAATAATGTCTGCCTCCGGGTTTGTTTTAAATTACAGGGATGACTGTGTGTCATGGCCCCGACGGCAAAAGGCTGGGGATGCCTGCCGCTCTGTAGCTCCTGGCTGATGGTCTGGCTGGCTTTATTCAAAGGCAAACTCCCCCCCTCCCCCATTCACGGGACTCAGGAGTGCCAAGGGCTTCTTGCAGGGCGGGCTCAGCTCCCGAACTCAGGAACAGCTAGTAAACAAATCCACTTTTATTCCTGAGAGTCAGAGGTCTCATATCTTCCTTGTCCCACTGTGACGACATCTCTCCCCTCCAGGGAGGCCCATGAATGCTTCTCCCTTTTTGTCTCCTTCCTGGGGCCTGGGGGGGTGGGGTGCTCTCTCTCCAAGTCTGCAGGTGCTCCCCACCGGAGCGCTCCCCACTGTCCCAGAGACCAAGGTCTCAGGTCAGGATGAGAGACTACAGCCCTCAAGGGCGTCATCATTACAACCTCTGCTCTAAATAAACATAAACGTAGCTGGGAGTTTTTGTACAAATTTAATGGTTTACAAATAGAAACTCCCTCGACTCGGGTGGCATGTGCTATGGCCTTATGCAGCAATGTCAGCAAGAAGGTTCTTGTCTCCTTTTGTCCACCCATAACTACAAGATGAAGATAGCAGATCAGCAGCAAATTCTTAGAGGTGGACAAGCAACTGGACAGAAGGGTGAGGAAGCTTGTGTGTTCTGTGTGTGTGTGTGGGGGGGGGCCCATGTGTGTGCATGCCCTGGTGTGTGCATGCCTGTGTGTGCGCGCCCATATGTGTGCATGCCCCGGTGTGTGCATGCCTGTGTGGGTACATGCCCGTGTGTGTGTGTGTGT